TTGTCATGTCGGGAGAAGTCAGGTGGTTTTTTTTGAAGTCTAGACCTTACATATTTCAGTTTACCAAGCTGATAAGGGATCGGGCCAGAGAGGGAGTTGGTTGTGAGAGAAATGCTGCGAAGCTATGTGAGATTGCCAATCTCCACTGGCACCAAACCTGTAAATATGTTATTGCCCCAATCCAATACATTGAGGATCGAAAGAGTGCCAATGGACTTAAGGATTCTACCTTCAAGATTGTTCGAACGAAGAAGATTGAGGTGGGTTAAATAGGGTAATGAAAAGAAGTTGAATTCATTAAGAGTACCTCTCAAACCGAAATTTGGAAGGCTTATCTCAATTATTGTCGCATCGAACACCAGCCCACCTACTTGAAAGGACTTTATAAAGACTTTATGATAAAGCACAGTGTATATATTTTAAAAAAATTCTTTACCCCTACACAATAAGATCACTTACAATGTCCAATTATAATCAAACCACTCTTGAAATAAATAAAATCGGTTCTCAATTGCTACGTCTTCAAATATAATTCTTTATTCAATAAACAAAACTAGACTTTATCGCTTTATGAGAAGAGAAGTAAATATTTAAAAAGGTAAAATTGTCGGAGATTACCTCAACCGGACTTAGTACACTGCACGTCGAGTCTCATCCTTCCGATAGTGCTTGGGATCTATGATCGGTATGATGATTTTCATACTATGGCAAAAATCCACTCAATCATTTAATCTTGATCAAGCCTCTCAGCTTGATTTTAGAGATTTGATAAATGAATATGAAGAGAGAGGGAGAGATCTACTAGCAAGGGGTTCCACCTCTTTGCCACCCATGGTGTTGTGCTCGGGATCTATGATCGGTATGTTGATATTCATACTATGGCAAAAATCCACTTAATTGCTTAATCTTGATCAAGCCTCTTAGCTTGATTTTAAGGAGATGGGAAATGAATATAAAGAGAGAGGGAGAGATCTACTAGCAAGAGGTTCGACCCCTTTACCACCCACGAGAATAGAGGTGGTGTATGCCACCAAAACATGGTGCAACTTGGAGAGAGATAAAAAATTGGGGCTTGCCTCCCCTTTAGAAGAGGGGGGAATTTTGGGTAGGGAGAGAGAGAATTGTTAGAGAGAGATAAGAGAATTCGTTTCTCATTTTATGAGGGGAGACCTCTTTTTATAGATTTTTTATGTTATATATTTTGCTTCAATTTGTAGGGTCAAATCTCAACCGTCGATCTAAGGAGACTTGTGAGGTGAGAGATTTGAGTCATCCATGTCTTTGATCCACCATCAAGATTCAAAGAGATAAGCTAGAGCCTTATCCTCCCCTTCCTAAATCTATTCCCATCAAATAAGGAAAACTTATATGTTAAAATATCAAATCCTTAATTATTGAATCAAGATTGTCATTAAATAAAGAAAGTTTATATTTTAATATATACAATCCTTAATTATTGGATCAACCAATCTTGATTCAAAGATTTAATAATATCTCAAATATTCAACCTTATCACATAAATTGGCTATACCCAAAAGATAAGCCAACAAGGAATAAACATTATTCCCAAGAAGAATACGTGAATGAGTAGGGAGTACCACCCTTTTGGTGGCCACGTGTGGGCCCCACCTAATCCACATGTATTTAAATTTTGGGTCCCATATTTTATGGAGGTCCCATATATTTTTAGAAAATATTTTATTTCATATTTAGAATTTTTAAATATTATATTTTATTTAAAACATTAAAAAATTAATTTCTCTTAATTTATAAATCCAAATGACAAAAGTAAAATATCATAAGATTCACAAAAATTCAAATAAAGATTTTAAATATCAAATAACATAAAATTAAGCAAAATTAATTAATTTTGATGGGAATCGGATCCGTTAGATCTAGGAAATTATCAATATATGAGAGCATTCCACCTTCAACTGCGAATCACGATCCGTCGAGCTTTCTTAAACTGACCCAGCAATTCCCATGACCCACAGTTCACTGCAGGGGCTCATGATTAGACCACCAAAGTTAGCCAATGGACTAGGGGATGCAATCCCAGTATATGGA